AAGTGTCCAACTGCTCAACTCCTAACCTACTCCTAACGTAGTGTCTTTACTCAGTTCAAAACACTAAAGCAGTACAAAAAGTGGGCCGTCAGAACAGCCGTGGGAAGTGAAGTTGGATGGACTCAATAGGCTGCTTCCCACCAGGCCAGCTCTGCGGTGGGCAGATAAAAGGGCGCCATCAAAAGCTCACCTGCAGCTCATTCATCCTTAGAAAAGGGAGGAGCAATGACCTCTGGCTGCTCTTGAATGGGAAGGAAGATGCTAAAAGGAGAGTGTGTGATGCTGCCCTGCTTGGGACTTTAATTCTGGAAACAACTAACCTGCTCTCTGAGCCACAGGAATTCCCCACTGCGTCCCAGACCACTATTCCCATTTTGCTTCCTTCCATGCCAACACCGTCTCACTGATACCAAAACAAACAAACCAAAAAGCCAGCAAGCACAGGCCAAAGATGTGGGAGCAGGAGGGGGCAGCTGAAGAATGGGACCAATTTACAGGCCAGACACAGGCCTACCAGTCTAAAAAAATTTCCTGCAACAGCTTCACTAGTTAGGTAATTATACTGATATAGAAACAGCACCTTCTTTTACTTACTTTGTTCAAAATCTGTTTCCCACCCTATTCCACTGTAAGCACATGGAAAGCAGACATCTAACTCACCTTCCTAATGCCTTCCCATCCATTCCCACCACCATAACTTACAGAAAGTCTGCAAACATCTTGATTTTATGTGTTATTTTGCTACTGACATTGCTCAATTATAAAAAATGAGCGTTTCTGGTAAGTCATCAGATTTAGTGGTTATGTCCTTGGTTAGGTCTCAAGACTACTCTGGCGGGGAGGGCTGTGGCTAATACAGAAAGCTAAGAGTCACAGCTGTCCCTACTTCATTCCTCTCTTATTAAATCAGAGAAATAAAGAAGCTGAAACCCGGGCTTCAACAGGCTATTTTAAAGACAACTGACGCTCTGTCCTTTCCCATGTAGAACTGAGCGTGACAAAGGGGGTAAGGACGGTTCTTGCACTCCACCCACACCAGCCTTACCAATTAGTCCCAGCGATACATTCCGGGATGCCTGTCCCTGGTACATAAGCCCTCATGTTAGGGATGATTACTGAAAGTCGACTATTTCTTTATTCTATGCATCGTTACTTTTAACTGTTCAGGCTGCGCTTGGGGCTCAGTTAAAGGATAAAAAGTGTTAGATGGAGAGGACATGGGAACATATCTATATTTTTACACTAGTTGTTTCAGAAATAATTTAAGTTTATAAATATTTTTATTCTAAGTTAGGTTTTCCTAATAAAACATTGGTGTTTAAGTCAGATTCTCTGCAATAGGAGCTAAAAAAGTCTCCTGATATGAAAGTAGCAAACAATATTACACCTACTCCTATATAGTATTCACCTTGGTCTAACTCCGCAAAGCCCTCTAAGCATTAGAATTAAATGTAATATTCATTGCGTATAATAAGCCTTTACCTACTGATCAATTCACACCTTTCAAATCTAACCTGCAAGAGCCACGACATCCCGTTAGCCAAAGTGGAAAGAGACAAACAGACCAATGTTGAGATATCAAATCCACCACAACCTGAGGAAATCACTTGACATCGGCCAGGAAGGTCACATGGCAGTGACTGAAAACCTACCTCTGCAGTCACTAGTGTGCTTTCAAGAAGGTGTTTTGAGTAAGAAGCACAATGGAAATTAAAAGAAATGTTTACTATACTGCTAATAACAAGAAAAAAAACAATTAGAGCCAGCGTGAATGTACTCTAGAGACTTCATAAATTCAGGTATATGAATCTGATGGAATATTTTAAAGCTATGAAATTATTAAAAATTATATCTATAAAAACTCAGAAGTAATTACTATAATCCTCTTTAAAAAGAAAAAACAGATTTATATATATAATGCTATTAAAAAGCATACACATAAGTGAAAAAATTAAATTTTATAAGGAAAGTTGTCATTTATTAAACAATTTAACAGAGGGGCTACTATGAGTCAGGCCCTAGGTCAGGTGCTAAAGCTAAAATGTTTTTTTGTTCTTTCTTAAAAAAAAAAAAAAAAATTTTTTTTTTTTTTTTTAAAAAAAAAAAAAAAAAAAAAAGATCTGAACTCTGCCTTCTTGGAATTTATAGGTATCATTTCTAAGTCAAAATAATTGTAGTTATGCAAGTATAGGGGTATTGTTTTTTTTTCTACATAATAATGCTAATATGTTAATATTTTAGTAATATAATCTAGGCTTTTTTCTGGTGAAGTGTATGTTACAACGCCTGCATTGGGGGATAGACATTTATGACAAGTGTCAAGAAGTGGCGCGTGAAATGACAACTATTGTTCCACATCGCGGTGGAGTATGATCACTGATGTCCTTTCCCTTCTTCCTAGATCAGTGGTTCTCAACCTTCCTAATGCCTCGACCCTTTAATACAGTTCCTCATGTTGTGGTGACCCCCAATTTCATTGTTACAAATTGAACGTAATTAAAGCATAGTGATTCATCACAAAAACAATATGTAATTATACATGTGTTTTCCGATGGTCTTAGGCGACCTCTGTGAAAGGGCCGTCTGACCCCCAAAGGGGTCGCGACCCACAGGTTGAGAACCGCTGTCCTAGAGGCTTCTGAGTACCCCTCAGCCAAGTGCGGGCATGGCTCAGCCACCTGTCCTTAGAGACCTGAGAGCAGAAGAAGCCATCTCTGATTCCAAGAGCCCAGCCACCTCCACACCCCCTCAGGGTAACTACCACTCAGCTAAGAAAGTGAGTGCCTGGCACAGCTCCTCTGAGAGACGGCCAACGTGACCGTGACGAGGTATATATACATGATGCAAATCCCACGTGCAGGGCGGGCTTGTCTACGGACTCTGCACTCTGCCCAGTGACTTCTCCGGGAGAAACTCTCATGAATGTAAGCAGCTAAAGTCACACAATGAATCAGACACTCAATCATCTGATCTTCTCCGGAAAGCCTTTCTTTTGTGGAGATAACACTGCCCTGTCCTTGGACAGCTACTTAGGTTTAAAAATAATAAAAACGTATTATTTTAAAATGCATGGAACTTGGAAAACTACAGAAGAAATGGCAGAGGAAAGAGAGGGATGTGGCTGTGGAAAGGCATGTCAGGGATCATAAATCTCTGCTACTCAACGTGTGGTCCAGGCACCGGCAGCGTCAACATCCCTTTCAAGTCTGATGGAAATGCAGAACCACACACCCAACCTGAGACCTTCTGAATCAGAACCTGCATGTAATAAGATCTCCCAGTGTTTTATACACACATAAAAGCTTGGAAGTCGCTGTTCCAGATACTTGTAATATTCTATTTTTATACCTGGAAGATGAGTACACTTAGTATTATTCTCTAAAGTGTACACACATTTTATCCAGTCTTCTGACGATGTGGCCATGTCTCTAATCTACAAATGGACCCCAGGTCTACAAACTGACAAGTAGGGATTGTTAAAATGTGGGAGAAAGAATGCTGCATAAATCTGATCTCCAAGCAGTAAACTCAGATACAGAAAAAAATTCGGAGATCACATAACCGAACCTATTCACTTTGTGAGAAATGAAACCATGTGATTCAGGAAGGGGCATGCCTTCCCCAGGGTCGGAGTGCTAAATTACTGTGGCAAAATTGGATTAGGGTTCAAGTCTCCTAATCCCCAGTAATGTTCTGTGTCCTGTAATAATACTGGTGTAATACATCATGACTGATTCTTTCCCCTATATAAACATATACTCATGCTAAAAGAGAAATCCGTATTATGTTAAAAAAGAAATCTTTAAATCAGTACCCTGTATATTTAATAAGAGACACCCAATATGTATTAGTTTGAATGAACGATTGACTTTGAGGCAGAGACGAACATTGTTGTCCACATCTTCTCCAAGGGCAGAGCTGAATTATAGAATGATTAAGTAATTTCCTTATGGAAGAAACCACAGAGCTCAGTTTTAAAACAATGTATAATACTGTTGGGGAATAAGTTTCTCCTTGACCCTGTTTGCTGGGCCAATTGTTGGAGTACTCACTCCTTGAATCCTGCTCCACTACGCCAACTGTTGGGCCTCAGTTCCCCTGCCAGGAACTGGACCTCCTTGGACACTAGGTATTGGATGTAGAAGACATAAGAAGTCGTAGGCATATAAGAGAGTCTTTATTGCAGACCAAGTCGCCATTACTACCAAGGACTGCTAATACAGCAGCCCTCCTAGTAAAACAGCCTCACATAACAGCAGCCTCTCACTGGCTGGTCAGTAACACACTTTATACGAACTTAGACTAAAGAAGCTTCTTGCCAAACAGTGACATCAATTTTGGGTTATAGAAGGGGACGCTTGCTCAGTGTATCCAGTGAAACTGCTGCGACCTTGCACCTGCCTATGGCAACTTGGCCTCGAACATCCTGATAAGAATTCCCACGCTCAGACTGGCCTTGAACATCTGGTGTATACTAACTCATTAGGGTTCCCCAAAATTGCCCTTTACCTTTATCAAAGTCAGAATATTTTACATGTTTAATATTTGAGTGTGTGAATCTGTTTGATTTCAATTAAATCAGAATCATAAGTAGGACTTTTAAAATTATTATTTAGGCCAAAACCGGTTTGGCTCAGTGGATAGAGTGTCGGCCTGCGGACTCAAGGGTCCCGGGTTCGATTCCGGTCAAAGGCATGTACCTGGGTTGCGGGCACATCCCCAGTGGGAGATGTGCAGGAGGCAGCTGATCGATGTTTCTCTCTCATCGATGTTTCTAACTCTCTATCTCTCTCCTTTCCTCTCTGTAAAAAATCAATAAAATATATGGACACAGACAATAGTGTGGTGAAGACCTAGGGTGGGGCAGGGGCTAGGAGGAGGGAGACACAGTGTGGGGGGGAGGGGAGAATTGGGGGACATCTATAATGCTGTCAACAATAAAATGAAACAAAAATTTAGAAAAGTTATTACTTAGGATATTGAAGAACAGTAGTACTCACCAATACTAATTTCATCATCTGTTTCAGCATCACCAATACATTCAAATTGGAAGTCTTGCAGTGATTGGGAAAATTTCTGTACTGCCATAGACAGATCTGTAATTAAAAGTTTAAAAGTCGTAAGTTGAAGGTACCATGGAATACTCATTTCCACACATAACTTTGATGTTAGTACTATATTAACCAGAGCCTTTTAAAATACCAGCTTGACAAATGCAAGCAGAATTTAAAGAGACTACTAAAGAAATATTTTAGGAACTGGATCTGCTCTGCTCAAAGGGGATCTGCCCCTTTAAGAAAGTTTTGGTGTCAGTCATGTATTATCTGGAGGCCAACTTCCCCAAAGCCTTTATCAAAGAATTACCACTCATTCCCTATAAATGGGGCATTTATTTATTAAATAAATAAATAAATACATAAATAAATAATGCTACTGAGGTTGCTGGTGAGGGGAAAAAAAAAGGCAGCCGACCTTTGATTAGAAAGGGTCATTGATGTTATTCTACACAGACTGTGAAGCAGGTAGGAAATATATTTTTACCAATAAATTACTGGTTTTGATCTTCTTCTAAGGTGAAAGGTCACCTGAAAGGTTGTTTACAAATAATCTTGTGATTTACAGGAGACCTCCAACTAAACATACTCTTTAATCTGACTTCCAGCTGAACAGAGTCCAGAGTGTGACTATATCCAGAAGAGGAATTATTCTTTATTCCTGAAGAGAATAAAGAAAAGTCCAGAATAATGAGAAGTAAATCCCTTGGAGGAAAAGCCTGGGATGCAACCTAGCAGACTGAATAGGAACGCAGCCTCTGGAGCCAGGCTGCCTGGGTTGAAATCCAAGTCCCACCACTGACATGACCTTGGACAAGTTATGTAACGCCTATGGGCCTGTTTCTCATCTGCAAAAAGTGAATGGCAACGGTACAGCCACCCCACAGAGTTGTTTTAAGGATTAAGTTAATATTTGCAAAAGGTTTAGAATAGAGCCTGGCACTTAAGCACTGTTTAAGTTTGTTAAATAAAATTTAAAATAAATCAATCTGACAGTGCAGCATCACAGAAGCCTTAAAGGTCCCACCTCTGAAGTTTGCACCAGTAGGAAAACATTTCTCAAATTCACTCTACACTTCATTGAATGGTTCAAGTCCGATACCTGAACCCTCACATTTAATTCATCACTATGGCCTGACAAAGACTCTCTCTTTGCCAATCTTCAGTCAGGCTCCTCTGAGCCCTCTTCCTGACTAGGCCTCTACTTGGCTCCCCTTCCTCGCTGGGCCTACTTAGCCCTGTTTTAACAAGAATCTTGCCAAGTCAATTTAGAGAGAACCCGCAGCCTGCATATCTGATATCTGATCAAATTCCTCATCTCCCACCTTCGATGAATAAGTTCTTGGCCTGCCTTCACCAAGAATCCTCCTGACCTTGATATCTCCTCTTAGTAATTTTCCACCCACAACCACCACACACCCCCCGCCCCCCAACCTGCTCAAGTTGAACCTGTTGTCTCTCCCCTATTGTGACACTTGGTATCTATAACAGTCCTGAATAAAGTCTTTCTTACCCTTTTAACAAGTATCAGAATTTCTTTTTTCTTTAAGAGAACAATTATGGCCCCATGCCTACACATGGCCCCATGACTTACTATGGTAATCCACCAATCATGAAACTCCAAGCCTAAGTGCCTATCAAAGTAAGCACTCACACATGAATAGGGCTCCAAATATGAAGGTCACTTTCAGCGCCACTGTGATCTAAGAACTCACCAACACCCTCACACCACGGACAATTCTGAAGATCGAGGCCTCGACTCTCAGAGAAGCTTTTAAAAAACAACAACAAATATAAACACACACACAAGAGACTGGGGTTTTTGTTTTCGTTTTTTAAATCTTGTTTGAGAAAATAAATCATGCTCTGGAAAGAGGATGCTACTTGTAGATTAACACCTCTTTCCACAAGAGGGGTCAAATTTTGGGACCATCTCACATTCTACTTGAGAGGTACTTTCAATTTAAGAGATTAGAAAAGTCTATTAACCTAAGAATGGCTCTGCTTCCGACTTTCAGGAAGAAAGATGAAGAGAGAGCCTCCTAAGTGAATTATCAGTCAAGGAGAAAAACAAAGGCTTCATCAGAACTAGACTTCACCAATTAGCTGTGAAGCCTTGAACAATCACTCATCCTTCCTGAGACCCATTTTTCTTATCCATACAACAGAATTAATACTTAGCCCACGGGGTTGTTATAAAGACTAAATGAGGATGTGCCTGGTACTCATGAGGCAACTCAATAAATGGCTTCCATTATTATCATTCAAATCCAGCCCATAAACGTGGAAATGTTACCTGGCCTTCCAGAGAGAAGGGCACTGTGCAAACACATGCATTTATCTGACAGTGCACACCTCTGGCTAAGGGTAGAGAAGTCATAACACCTGTATCAGATGTTATGAGAAGACAAAGAAAGAAAGCAAGCAGACTTGTAGGATAACTTTAAGCCAAGCTGTATGTGGGTACTCTCCCAAGACTTGGGAAAAGCATCTATAATAATAAAAGAGTAATATTCTAATTAGATCAGACAGCCGGACAACCTTCCGGACGATCTTCTGGACGAAGCTGGGGCTGCAAGGGCCGAGAGCCTTTCACAAATTTCGTGCATCAGGCCTCTAGTTCTATATAACAGTATAAAGGCCTTATGCTAAACCGGATTTGAAGTCACAGATAGAATTCCTACACAGCAGACTTGAGAAGGGGGTGGGAGTTACATGAGTAGATCAGGACGCTTAGGAACCCCGTAGCAAATATTCTTCTCTCTCTCTCCTCCTCCCCACAGGCTCCTCTGAATTTCCCTTTAAGCTTTGTCCTAGCGAAGTCTTAACTAACAAACCCCAATGACTGCCCATTTCATCCTAGACCAGGGGTGGGCAACCTTTTTGTGAGTGCCTGCCAAAACCAGCAAAATCTCTGACTCAAAATTCTTCTGCGTGCCAACCCTAATTTTTTGAGAACATGTTACGTCTACTTGATATCTCTTAAGGTGTACGTATGTGAAGAACTTGAAGAAATAATAAAATTCATTCGAGCGACAAAAACACAGTATATGATGATGAAAAATACATTTATTTTTTCATGTATACATGTACACTGATAGTCTGACAGAAAACTTTATTACTCCGTTTGATATTATCAGTGGGACTTTTGCTGCTGCATCACTGATGACAGAGATTTTACATCAGGTTTATATTTCGTGACCTTCAGAGATATGCACGAGCTACTACTTTCATCCGTCAGGCTACTCCTACTACGAGACTTAACAAAATTCATCACTGAGAACAAAGATTCACAAGCGTATGTGAATGAAACCAAAACACTGGTCGGATCTAGGAAGGCAGGGAGAGTTAAGGCAGAGGCATAGAAATTGCTCTTCCCCTCTCTCGTCAATCCATGTCTATGGTCTTTAAGATAACTTGTTATGTAAAATTATTTATTTATCTAAGATGCACCTACACTGAATTTATCTGAAAAATAAAAAAGTCGATATTAAGGAAAAAAATGTAAATGGACGATTATAAGAGAGGGTTTCGAGTGCCAGCAAAAGTTACTGGCGTGCCATGTTTGGCACGTGTGCCAGGGGTTGCCCACCCCTGTCCTAGACTGTTCTTTGCTTTTTGTGGCCTTGTTCCTTGACTAAGAAAAGCAAGCTGCTTAGTCCTTTCACAGAGATCTCATAACATCTGAGAATGCAGTAGTAATTCCATCCCCAAACGAACACAGTAGCTGCTTTGTGAGCGATCCTTGTCAATATAGCCAAGTGAGTGAGAGGATGAGCTCTAGTGGTAGATTACCCAGGTTAGCTTCCTGCTTCTACCAATCAGTGGCATGACTGTGGGCAAGTATCATAACCTCTCTGTACTTCGGTGTCCTCATCTGTTCAAGGGAACAGAACCCATCTCTCCGGGTTATTATGAGAGGTAAATAAATGAGTTAATAGATGAAGCATTTAGAATAGTTACACAGAGTTAAGCACTTAAGACATTTTGGTTATTTCCATGTCGAACATCTCAAAAAAAAAAAGGGGGGCAAGGTAAAATTTCAGAAATGAAGATGGCAGCTATTAGACCTTAGATAAATGGCTTCAAGGGGTTCAGTGCTCAAGAAAACAGTCTATTGATAGCAGTTTCTAATTCTCTCTTGGTGCCCTGCAATCATGTTGTAACAGAGACAATCTGATTAGTCAATATTTCTATGTAAGAGATGGGTATCTATTTCCATCCTGGATGGAATCAAGAATGCATGAATGATCCCTTCACAGTCCTTTCAAAAGCATAATGAGAAAGGATTCCATAAGAAAATATGGTTCTCAACTAGTTAAGATGATAATTCCAAAAACAAAAGGAAAGTTCAAAATACAATTTATTTTCAACTTCAAAGTATTTTCTTTCTTGATTTACCTTTAATTTTTCTCATTTTCTAAAGACAAAAAAAGCAAAACAAATTTGATGAGATGAAAAATATTATCAAGGTAAAGTAGTTATGATATTTTCTGGCAGTAATATTGACCAAGCTGCAAAATGAGGGATCCAGCTCATGCTTTTAATCTTGGCTCTATCTCTTACTGTGTGCAATTCTGAACTGGAAAACCAACACCTTTTATTGGCTTAAAAACCACATGAAGCAACTATTTCCTAAATCTAAAGTTTCTAAGCAATGATCAGATGTACAAAATCAATGTACTGGTTCTCAAACCATTTAAATAAAATTGAATCACATGTGATTATATAGACCCTGAATTTAAAACTTAAGTTTTTAAAGTTTGTTGTTGAATATTAAAGTATCAAATTGTGTAATGATAGAATCAACATTTTATCTTAAATGCAAAATGAAAGATCAAGTGAATAAATCATTACAAGCAAGAAATCTAGTTTAAGTAAACGTGTCTCTTTCTCCCGATTTCTACACAATTATTAGAAATTGAGGACAAACAAGAGAAATATCCCAGTCAGAACCACCATGGCCCCATTCTATGGTGAAGGTAAAGGAATAATATTTACTAGCGAGCAAGATTGTACATAGTAAAGATGCTACAAGTACC